TGTGCGTCTGAAGCTGATGTGGATCAAGCAGTTATTGCAGCAAGTAGGGCTTTTGAAGGAGAATGGTCTGAAATGAGTCCCAGAGACCGTGGAGCTATTTTGTATAAGATAGCAGATTTATTAGATAAAAATAGGGAAGAATTAGCGACTATAGAGTCCATTGATTCTGGTGCAGTGTACACATTAGCATTGAAAACTCATATTGGCATGTCTATTGATGTTTGGAAATACTTTGCCGGTTGGGCAGATAAGATACATGGACAAACAATACCAATATCACATGCAAGACCTAATAGAAATTTGACATTTACAAAAAAAGAGCCATACGGGTAAATTGATGATTTAAAATGACAACTTGAAATGTATTAAATAATATATTATAAAATAATATTTTATTTTATGTTTGAAAATAGGGTTTGTGGTATTATTACTCCATGGAATTATCCTTTAATGATGCTGTCTTGGAAAATGGCAGCATGTTTAGCGGCTGGCAATACAGTGGTGATGAAACCAACAGAAGTATCGCCTCTCACAGCATTGAAGTTTGCTGAATTGTCTGTAGAGGCTGGCTTTCCAGCTGGTGTTATAAACATTCTTCCTGGATTTGGTATTATTACAGTAGATTTTAGTGAATATTTAATTATGTCATTATAACGTACAAAAACTTATGGTGTAATAGGTTCTGAGGCTGGTAGAGCAATAGCTGAACATCCAGATATCAGAAAAGTGGGATTTACAGGCAGTACAGCTACTGGTCATGCAATCATGAAAGCTTCAGCAGAATCAAATCTCAAAAAAGTATCCTTAGAACTTGGTGGAAAATCACCTTTGATTATACTCGATGACTGTGACCTAGACAAATCTGTTAGAATGGTGTGTTTCTATGTTTGTTTTCTACATTTTTTGATTCATTTTGTAAGCATTTGGCTTTTGATGTTACTAGAGCATGGGAGGAGTGTTTTTCAACAAAGGAGAAAATTGTATAGCTGCAGGTAGAGTTTTTGTTGAATCAAGCATACACGACAAATTTATCGACAAAGTTGTTGAAGAAGTAAAAAAAATTGTAAGTAAATTAGACAAGTATTGAAGTATTAACTGAATTAAAGTACTCTTAATTCGACATAAGACGAGCACATGGCAATTTTTTCTTTGAATATAGCTGAATAAAAAATAATTACGGCTCTGCCTATTTAAGAAACTTGACTCAATTAAAAAAAAAAAATGTATTTTTATTGAAATTTAAAATAGTGTAAATATTTTACTCTATTAAAAACAGTTTATACTCAGTTTGCTGAGAAACCAGAACTTTTTTTGTGCAAATGACTGATGGTAGCGGCAGGTGGTGCGTAGCTGTTATGAGTTGTATTGGTGGGGATCAACAAGTTTTTGTCCACTACGCAGTTTTGGCCTCTCCGTGAACAGAGTATATATTACATTATGCTAAAAAAGTTGACAATTTTTATCTTAAAAAAAAGTTTCAAAATGTTTAATGAAGTCTTGTTAGTTCTTTATAGTTTGTTATTAATTGACTTACTTTTTTCCTGTAAAAGTAAATTCTTCAAAAATATTTTATTAATGACTTTTAAAATCAAAAATTGGATTCAGTTATTTTATTGCAATCTATTAAGTATTAAGTTGTAATATATGGTTATAGTTTAACAGTTTTTTGTTCCATGTTAGAAAATTGGAAACCCATTAGAACGTGATACTCATCATGGACCTCAAAACCATAAGGCCCATTTGGAAAAATTAATTAATTATTGCAAGAAAGCCAAGAATGAAGGAGCTGAATTAAAGATTGGAGGGAAACGTCTGGATCGACCTGGATACTATTTTGAGCCAACTGTGTTCACAGGAGTTGAAGATCATATGTTCATTGCTCAAGAAGAATCATTCGGACCTATTATGGCTGTTACTAAATTTAGTAGCAGGTATAAAAAATAATTTTTGTGCACTTATAGAAGATTATTATATATTTATTAAAATTGAAATTTAATATATCGCGCTTACAATTTGACATTAGTGACCTAGACGCAGTCATCAAGCGAGCAAACTCCACTGATTATGGTCTATCTTCTGGCATATTTACAAAAGACATAAGTAAGGCATTGAGATTTGCAGAAAAAATTGATGCTGGAACTGTATTTATAAATACTTACAATAAAACTGATGTTGCTGCGCCTTTTGGTGGGTTCAAAAAGTCTGGATTTGGCAAGGATTTAGGTACAGTGACTCCTTGAAGATCTTGTTAATTTTTTTTGTCAAACATATTTTATACTCATTATTGTCTGCATTAGGTGAAGAAGCTTTGAATGAATACTTAAAAACTAAATGCATAACAGTAGAATATTGAGCAACAGTTATACTCAGGTGAGAGGGAAAATATAGTACAGTATTTTACATATTTCAATATCCAGCACTAAAGGCTCTGTCAAACAGAAAGCGTTATCTCCACGTCGCKTGATTTTGTAATTTGTTACAATGCTGCGTTATTCACGCGCATGAAAGCACCATGCCGACGAGCCATTTACCGCTTTAACGCGCATTATAACGCATTTGTTTAACAGAGCCTTAATTGTTTATATTGATTCCAAATTGGCATTGATTTTATCTATACTGTTCAACCTCTGTGTTTTATCAGCTGTTCTTCTTAAACAACATTAAAATTTCCATGTTAAATAATATTGATTATTTTTATTATTTTTAGTATGGTATTTCCAATAAGCATATACTTCTTTTGATGTTGCCAATGCAAGTTAAATGCTTAGAATTGTTGCCAGCGTTCTCAGTCACAACTCATTTGSAATGGTCCAAAACCAAATTGTACCATACATTTTTCATAGCTCTTGAAAACATTATTAAACCAAAAAATATTCTCAATTTATTTCTACCTCAACCCAATTGTACTGACTACAACATAACAAATTGAACCAACTTTTCTATTTATATTCAACCAAATTCTCAGTGTTTACTGCATTTGTTTGATTGTGCCATATGTATGATTAACTCTTTGTTAAAATCTATAATTGTATGTAATTTGTACATTTATCTGTTTTGTGATGAAATCAAAAGATTATCTTATTGCATTTAGAATAAGTTCTATACATTAAAAATCATTGATTTCTGGTCACTTCTTGAGCATTCCAATATTTTTTTAGAACATATCATACTTGCATTTAGTTCAATTTGTTAAATAAGTACATTTAATTTTGTGTTAAATCTTGTTTTATGTATACATGTTTTTTATTATTGTTATTTATATCTTCATTCTGTTTTTTTTAATAAAATTGGAACACACATAATAGTTAGTCTATACTGTATACTCTATTTGTATATGTAATGGGTAATGTTAACATTTGGATAAAGTTAAAATTAGCCGGATAATACAACATTAGCCATCTGTTAACATTACTCACTATATATATTATTAAATATTGGTTAACATTAACCGGATAATATGATATCATCCAAGAACTTTTGTATAATGTCTTAACAACCATAAAAATGTATAAAATCATTTTAAACTATCAACAATATTGAATATATTTAAATCACAATTATTAATTCCCAATGAAATGCATAAATTATTAATATGAGTTTATTTTTCATTTTATATAATGATTTTTATAGTACATAAAATTATAAAGAAAATATTGTGCAATTAACATAAATATTAAGCCCATAATATATTATATTGTTCACTTAATCGGTAAGCCCATATAATATATTGCTTACCTTATTGGTGAGATAACTGACTAACTCGGTTATAGATTAATTAAGATATTATACTCTGGCAGTCCAGCGTTTCATTATTCTAAGAATGCTAACAACTCTAATATATAACTTTTAACATTATCCGGATAATGTTGATATTTCATGTTTATAAATGAAAAATTACACATTAATCAAAACAAATGGCTAATGTCGATTTTATCCAAATGTTAACATTACGCGTAACATATATATAAATAGTTTACCTTTTCCAAAGTGTTTGTTCTTAGGAGTGAACAAGAACTTAAAACCTTCAGTGAATGAAGAGGCTGTAATCTCCCTCCATTGTTATTCACGTTGTGTGGCAAAGTGGTGATGTACAGACCCAGATTTTAATTTTTTTTTAATTGTACATATTATATTTTTGTAATTTTTTTTACTTTTATAATAATTGACGGCAGTCGATCGCCAATAGCCACTACAATGACTGTCACATAAACGATTATAATTATAATTTAAGATCCAAATGCCACGGGCGGAGACAATAACGAAAGTGCATATTGCTTAAGTATTACCTCTTATTAAATACACACGTGCAGGCCCCCGACAGTATAACGTTCAGATATATGTACAAACTGTTAAAAAGTACCTACTGTCTATACTCCGTATAGTACTACGAAAGAATTAGTTATTTACTACATATTATGTTAATATCGTTTTTATAAATAGCTAAAAATGTTGTACATTATACCCAAGCTTAGATGACTTTGTTAGGAAAAATTTATAAATAACGAATTAAAAAAAAAAACCACGAAAGAATGCATACGGCTCGCGCATCCGAATGTGACATTTCCACCTCGAAGGAGCTTATAATATTGTAATACGGCGGTTCGCGGAGGTAGACGCTGGTGCGCGAAAAAACATTTTCATTGGCAGCCGTATGCATTTTCTCGTGTTACGGAATATAGGTATTCGTATTAGTTTCTAAACCTCTGGGCTCTAAGACTATGACATAATTTATCTATTAATTTCGACCACTGTCCAAAAATAACTCTATTCTTAACGAAAAAGTCTATGTGATCAGCTTATTACAAAGAACTTTGACTCGTAGTTTTAAATAAATTATGACATTTTTTAAATTTTATTAAGAACAATAGAAATTAAAAGTTATTTTTAAAATAAACATACCTATTATTTATATGCTCATGCCATACCTACATATAATATAATAATCCTCGTAAGTTATAAATTATGACTATTAATATTTGTGTGTGTCAAGTGAATATAAATTAAATACATGATGGTGGTAGAGTATTAAACGATAATAATTGTAGGTATACTCTGGCGAGTCATATAATTAAATAGCACTAAATTTTACACTTTTCAATATCTGACACTAGTTTTTTATATTGGTTCCATATTGGCAACGATTTTATGCATACTGTTCCACCTCCACGTTTTGTCTGTTCTTTCTAAAAAAAAAAAAAACATTAACGTTTTTATGTTATTGATAAAAATAACATTAATATTTTTTACTATTGATATTATAGTATTTTTAACACAAACATACAGATCGATTGATATCGCCAATGCAAGTCCAATGTACAGAACTCTTCCCAGTCACAACCCATTTAGAATGGTCTTTAGTTGAATTGTACCATACGTTTTTCAACCCATTTATGTTCTTCATAGCCAATGACTTGATGTTCATAGTCCTTAAAACCATCATTATTATTTAGCAAAACTAATCTGATGATCTACTCAGTGTATTTCCATCTTAACTTACTTGTACTTGCTGGAACATGACGAATTGAACCTATCTCTCGAATTTAACCAAGTCTCTGTGTACAAATTTGACTGTGCCATGTGTGTGATTAAGTCTTCGTATAAATCTACAATTGTATATAACATAACAGATATATGCATGTGAACTAGTGTGACGAAATCAAAAGATTATATATCAATAATAAGTTAAATACACGGTCACATTCACGGCATACTTAAGTATATTGTACATAACTGCAATATGTGATGTAAAATATGCATGTAACAGGGGCGTATTTATGGGGGAGGGGGGCTGAGGGGGCTTCAGCCCCCCCCCGAAATCCAGGAATTGTTTATGAAGTCTGCTTATTATGTCCTATCAGATGTAAATTTTCTAACTCATATAGGCTGGATTGGGAATTTCAGTTGAAGAAAATACCACAGCCCCCCCACCCAAAAAAAAAAGTCTAAATACGCCCCTGGCATGTAACTATATTCAAACACAATATCATTTATAATACTTGTCATAGCCATACTCGAATTTAGTAAGGTTAGTTCGTTTTAAAAGTAGATTTTATTCAATAGGAATTTGTATAAAAATGTACGTATAATTTCAGATTTTCAGTGGAGCGCTAGGCATAGTTTGGTTTCATATAATGTTGACAATGCTTCGACTTCCAAGTTTGTTAGAGGTTATTATTCGTTATATTAGAATATTGGATTTTATTAGTYAGTACTTTATAGTTAGAAAAAACTCAGTTCTTTTTTTTTAATTTTTAATTTTCGACTTTTTAAGGTTTTTTTTTATGATTTATGTATTATTAAACTGTATACCTAGTCCATACAAATACATATTTAGATGCGAAGTGTACCTTTTTCAAAATGCCTGTTTTTTGAAATCGACAAGAACTCAAAGCCCTCAATAGATTTAAGAGGCTGTAACCTYACTCCATCGTTCTTTACTCCGGGAATAGGTTGAGGCAGAGAGGCGTTGTATAGACCCGGGTACGTTGATTTCAGATCGCCTCCAAAGTGACTGCTGTAGACCACTACTTCGTTGTTGATCAATTGATCGCCTGCAGGGTCGTTACATTGATTAATAAATCCCGGGCAACATTTGTATTTTTTTTGGATGTATCCAAACATTATGAATCCAATATTTACAAACATATTATATAGGTAATAGAAAATTGCATAGATACTCATTACTCACCTACCTTGTCCAGCTCCTCAGCTGTCATGGACATGCACAGAAAACTTTGGCCGAACTTCAAGCCAGTCTTAGGGTATGTGTACGAGTTGTTGTTCTGGTAAGGTAACTGCGGAAACTTGGGTACACTGTGCACCAGCCATAAGCCCGAACTGTTATTGGCCACCACCATGCCTTTGGAATGACCCTTCGAATACGATGTTGGACCGTTTGTCGGCTCATCGTTGTACACGGCCCACATTATCGACTGAAATGTATAAGGGTGTATGATATGATCACAGCAGACCATAAGTATTTATAATTCTTCTTATTCTCGGAGTTGACGAAATCGTGTATATTATAAAATTCGAGACATTAATTGTAATAAAATTAATTGTTTGACGAGTATTTAACCAAAGTGTACCAATCCTAATATAAATATAAGCACTAGAATTATGTTGTCTACTCAAGTACACTCACAAAATATATATTTCTAGTCATGTAGATGAAAATATAATTATTATTATTTTTGTACCACTATTAATAATATTACCTCGTTATAGGTTTGAGTGGTCGCGTACATCTGCTTCACTGTGTGTCCAATAGCCGACTTCTCAGTCGTGATTCCGGTCAAGTAAATCCACTCCGGGGTTTTCGCATCCATATAGACGTAAACCTTCCCATTGGACAAGTTCGAATAGAGGTTCGGCAGCTTGATGGCCGTAAACCTATTTTTGACAAACTTTAATAAATATCTGAAAATATAAATAAATATCTACTTACCAGTCGATTGGTTGTCCATACGGGTCTTTACATTGCAGTCGATCGCCAAATGTCACCGCAATGACAGCCATCAAGACGACGACAAATGTCAAAAACGCTCGTCCCATATCGTAACTTGATATTATTCAGTATAATATTGTTGCACTGTTTCACTATAGTGACTGCCGACTAYAATACTGTAGCAGCAAGACTAGCRATGTTTTGCCTTTTTAATAAAAGTTATAAAAACCCAGTTATATAAAAATATTAAATGTAAACGATAAGAATATGGTATAGGTTATTTAAAATGTGATCTAAACGAATTCTACCTTCTTTTCTGATTTATAAAGGTCAACGAGTTATAATTACGATGAAACTTCCGTATTAGTTATACAGAATCTCATGATCAACAAAAAACATTTTTTAAATAGAATTAAATGAGCTTGGTTCTCATAAATATTTAGGTAGTTGAATGTTAAATGGAAGTTTCACAGTCTGTTATATACGGTGTCACACATTAAATCATATCTAATATTATTCGCGATTTGTAATAAATACAAATGCATTGCGCATCAACTTATTTAATATTATTAATTAGMATCAATATACCTACAACCTATAATTATTGTCTCTGATTATTAACTTAATCGTTGTCGYTTATCGCTTTAATAATAATGTTTTGATGGCTTAAACTAATTAAATATATGTTAAATAATAGGTAATTTTTTTTTCATTAACAATACTAATAAATGGTATCAAATTTTATCAAAATGTATTTTTACACTTCGTAATAATTACCATATTGTTATTTATTAATTTAATTACACGATTACAATAATTAACACGAAATAATACCCACGACTAATATCTACCACGATACTAATAACGCGATTTTAATACACGCGAAGTAGGTACTGAGGACGATAAATATTTAAGTAGTAAGTTAAGTATAAGTACGATGAGGTACCTATAAATCCATCAATATTTTATTCACTCGAAAAAATSTGTAACAATCTTTTATTATATTTTCAAGCTTGATTGATTATAAGGAATAAAATTAAAGAATGTTATAATCTTTCCAAGTTTCAACATTTATAAAATAAATTGTGACTGTATTTTAGATATTTTTTATTTTTTTAATGTTAGAAATATCCAAAATAASAATCTTGTTTTCAAGTTTTTTACGTTATACTTACTAACTCACAATGAAAGTTCACTGTGTACATAGAAAAAATAGAAGGATTTTTGATTTTTGTCGTATATAAATTCATCATATATTTTTCTTATAATAATATTAAAAATCTAAAAAATACATACTCTCAATTTTTTGCCCATTGGCCATTTCCATCATTCGGTTAAAAAAATATTTTGCCCATATATATGACATATACGTATTTTATTTGTAATATAATGTAAGTATAGGTACCTACAAGTGTTTTAACGTATAAAAAATAATAATTTTATATCATAACTACATAAATGATTACTATTATTATTCATATAAAAAATTACAGTTATATATAGGTACCAAACCTTTGCATGTTATTCTTATTGAATATTTTGATTTCACTCATACAAAATATGAGCTCATCAATGTAACATTTTTGAATAATTATATACAAATGATAGTACGCAATAATAATTTTCAATAATGGTCGTTATTACCTATCTATCTACCTATTTATTAAATAAATAACTAATATGACGTATAAAAACGTTGACGACTGGAGCCTAGAATTTACATAGGTAGGTGTACATAAAAAGTATTTACTTCTACACTAATGATAAAATTCACATTTTTAAAATATAATTGCCTAAATGCAAAAGTTTCCTATAAAAATGATTAAATAGATATCATTAATATTATCTGTCTAACTACGCTCTTTCTAATAAAAAGTTCTCGGCTAGCGAGAAAAACATGAAAATTCAACATGAGATTTTATTTTGACAATTTTGTTATTAAAACAATAACCTACCTGTGTAGACGATACAGAATTACAAACGTTCCAAATGTACATATACAACAGACTGTTTACATACTACAGTCTCAAACTCTCGACAACCCTGAATTCTCTATAGGGCTGTAACACTCCCTCCTTTAGTCCTTTGTTTCGACCACCACCTAAACCAAACTATGTTACTCTTTTGTTATAGGTATTCGTGATTTTACTTATCACAAAGAAAGGTATGTGCTCGAGTTTAAGGTTATGTAAAAAACGAATACTCATCAAAAAAATTTTTTTACCACTTAATTTCAAATATTTTTGAAATTAATACAAAATAGAATACAATATATGTAGTGTCTACTGTCGTCTCACACTATATTATTTTTAATTTATTGAGGGAATCTAAGTACGTGTTTTCTATGAAAACTTAACCTAGGGGTATTTTTTTAACATCCAAAGTCTACTGTATGTCTGTATATAATAAGGACATTATGGAATGTTTATGTTGGAAAAGTAGCAGGGGGTCAAATTTAAAAGTTGTAACGGCATAAGTACATAATGTTATGATCACCTAGTAAAATTKAAGCCAATGAATAATATTTTTTGAAAATATATCGTCTATTGCAACTTTTAATAATCGACTAAAGAGCAAGTGTTCTTAATAAWATAATAAGAAATGATTTTAAATTAGTTACTTTTTTTTTTGAGGTCATAAATTTCTTACATATCAGTTTTAAGTCGTTTAAGTAATAATTTCTATAAAGTGTGTTAAATAATCATTATACAAAATCTATGAAATAACTAAATGAACCATTAAATAAATAACATAAATAACATAAATTTAATTATTGAATGTTCAACATTGGTAAATATAAAAATTAAATATTCAAAGTCAARAATCTACATTAGTTAAAAATATTACTAATGTAATAAAAATTAAGTATTTAATAAATTACAGTCTTATAGAATTTGATTTTCCTTGGCAATTATAAATAGGTGTTTGGTTTGGGGAAGATACACACCATTCATACCACACTYTATTTTTATCGCAACATCTCCAAAAATGCACAGATATAACATTACCCGATTTAACAAACATGGTATCCTTGATTGGAAAAAAAACTGGAAACCAACTGAACATTCCAAAACTCTCAGTTAATGGTTCTATACTAATTATAATATTTTTATAAAGTACAGCATTAAAATAGCCACTAAAACCATGCAATTGCATGTTAGAAGTTATTTCAAAATTAAGGCATTTATAACGAGCATTGCTTTCTAGTGTTTTTTTTGGATGATAAAATGAAAATAATTTTTTGGTCTTTGTTGGCTTATAGCTATTTGGTTGTAAAACAATGTATGACTGTTCAAATGCAGAATCTTTTGACTTTGATATACATGACTCATCGATAGCTTTATTTCTTATCGTCTGACTAAACAATTTGTGTGACATAACAGGCCTTAAATAGGATGAATATTCACAAGGTATACTTATCCCATCATCTTTCAAACATTTCTGAGCTCCATCTAAGCATTCTGGTGACAATTCATTGTCTCCAAATGATCCCAAAAGTTCAGACACCATTATATCACACTTCTCAGGTGGGTCCCATTCACGCCCATCACTGAAAACCACATCAACAGATTTYCCCCAAATGTTTTTTTGGTACATAAGTAGAGTCGGTATAGCATTTTCATTTTTTTCAACTGCATATACCTTAACATTTACAGCTGCTAAATCTGCAGCTCTCAAACAAGCTTTAACTAGAGGACCTCGACCGGCACCAATAACAGCTATAACAATATTTTTTACCTTTTTGTCAATGATTGCCAAATGTATTGCTTTTTGGTATTGTGTATATTTAACTGGATCCTGTTCAAAAACATGATATACACAAGACATAAGATTGTCTCTGAGTGGTTGCAAGGGGAGTTGTAGAAGATCATCACACAYAATTATTGGAGCTGGTATATGAACATTCTTGGCAATAAATATAATGTAATAAAAATAATCTCTCATATTTGGTAGCGGTTCGCCCGATACAATTATTGTCCATTTTTGTTGTACAGCCATTTTCAAAATAACTTCATGATTTTCATTAAGTACTGGATTTCCTTTTTTGTTTAAATTGAAAAGGTTTGTACTAATAGATAAAGCACACATGGGTTCACCAACCCATCGACTCATCTCATCATGAGTTGGCACATATTTAGTGAGGCACAAAACTATGCCAATTTGTAAACTATAACCAGTCATGTTCCTAAAAATATTCCAAGAGTCCCAAGCATTTTCTAATGCTAGTACATTAAAATAAAATATAATTGGTTTATTTGAATATTTACATACCACTCGAGCTAAATTTGCAGAATTGTTTGATAATTTAAATTCTATTAAAAACTTTCTAAATTTAAAATTATACAATGTAGTAAGCTTTTGATCAAATTGATTTTCCATGTCATTTTGAAGTTTATAATCATCACAATCCACAGTTGGTAGTTTTGCTATCACTTTATTAATTAAATTTGTAGATAGTATTGTATCCAAATTTAAAATTTTTTCATCGTCAAATAATTGGATACAGCCCACTTTGCAGTACCATGCTGTGAGATATTCTAGACACTGTTGTAAATCATTTTTTGTAATGAAATCAAATGCCAAGTCAACAGGAATGTTTGAGGTTATTAATGAAAATTGATTTATACTGGATAAACTGTTATTATTCATCCTACAGAGTAAAAAAA